CCACCAGCCAGATCTCTGTGTACTGTCAGCAGGCCCTTTATAAAGCCTTTACTGAGATTAGGAATTGCTGAGAAAGGCCACRTGTTTTAGTCACATGCATAACTTTTTCAAGGAGAGAACAACTTTGTAAGACTTATTAAATAAGTTGGGATGGTGGCCTGCCTTTAAAAGGCTGAACAGAGCACACTGCATTTCCATCAAAAAAACTCCTTAAGTATTTTTGGGACTGTAAAAGCAAGTACTTGGAGCAAGGGTGAGATCAGGCCTTGTTTCCAAGAAAGAATAAAGCAACTAGACTGAGTGTGAGCTGGGAATGAGCAGGAACCTGGAAAACGGAAGACAGGGACCCTGAGTCCAWCTGCAAGAGGCCAAATACAGGGATGTCAGAATGTCTCACAGAGYGAGCAGGAACACATTACCCTATCAAATGAAGTCAGAGTCTGGTCATCAGCACAAACACAGGAGACTGTTCTGTTCCAGAAAGGAAACAGACTATTATTAATGGAAAGCAATTTACAGGTCAGACACAAACAATTCTGAGCCCATTATAAGCTCTTTCCAACTCCTTGCCTTCATATTCTACCAAGGACTCTTACAAGCACATTTGCCTTTATGTTTTCCCCACCTTGTCTCACTGTTTTGAACCGGCCAAGGATTGTCATTTCAACAAGGAATTTGTATATTGTTTGGTCCCAGAGCTGGCTGCAGTACAAATGACTGAATCTTGTGTTGCAATAAGAGACTCTTGACCTCAGTACCAATGAGAGGTGTGCTCGGTGTCACCAAAGCTGATGTCAGCTATCTGCACCTTGAATATTTTCACCAGCTGCCTCCTCAGTTTGTTTCCATTTTAAAGATGGAAATCATAACTGAGTTATTTTCCACAGCTCTCTATTTGTTTCTTTCCTGATTAGAGGAGATGATAGAAACTGAAAGGAATGAAGAGTTGTCTCTGTTCACAAGGTCACTGCAGAGCCTCCAGGGTTGCTCAGACCTTCCGAACTGGAGCAGCCTTCATAATATGCACTTGCYTTCTGGCTGATTTGTGCCACCCCTCTGCTCCAAGTGGTTCCAGTGTTTTTCTTTGTCTTTTATACCCCCCACATCAAAATATTTTTCAAGCCAAGATGTTTCACAAGATACCAAACTCTTTCAGAAATTCTGTATATATAATTAAGCAAAGCAAAAGAGCCTTTCATTACCACTCCTGCYTCTGAGATGTGGAGCAGGGATATGACTTCATCTGAGAAAAAATGCAAGCCCAAACCCAAACCAGTTGTCTCCTGGGGTTTTCTTAGCTTTTAGCTCATCATAAACATTTTGTGGTTTCAGTAACTGTGCCTGAAACAGACTTCATCAGGGTCAGCAGTACAAAACTAAGGCAGAGGATTTACTGAGATAGACTGTCTATCTACTTAAATGTGTAAAATGATATTTCTCACGGCTGTCAGGAGACCAGAAACAAAACAGGCAACAATGAGGTGATAAGAGGGGAAAATGAATTAAAAGAGCTTACTGCACAGACCYACTCTCTGACAGCGTTTTGTTCACACTGCCTGAATTATTACAAAATAGAAAATAACCCTCACATACCCAAATAAGACCAAAAAACATTTACTGCACTAATTGCTGAACACTTGAGAGCCTGTATTACCAATTTCTTTCAAAGTTTTATTGCCTAAAGAACACAATTCTATAAAATTAGAATTTTTCTCTTTTGTTTCTAAGACTCAGTTTGGTTAATTAGAATGAAAAGAGTTTATCCAGCAGCAGAAAGAGACATTTCCAAAACAACACTCACACAAAGGAAGTTTTCCACTTCTCTTTTGCCTTAACAAATACTTTTTGTAAGGGATTTTAAACATTTTTGCAGGAAGCTGTTTTATCCTCATGCGATTGATTTAAAACCAATTTAYGTATTGGGGAGAGACAAAAGCAGAGAAATGCTTGATAAACAGTAATCAARGTACTGGCATTTGAACTATTCAGTAGTTTATTGGGGATTAAACCACCACATTTCACAGTCCAAGTGCACGTGAAATATCTGGTGTTTCATGTTCAAGCAGCGTTCTCAGCTCGAGCTTTCCCCCATAAATGTTTACAGTGTTCTACAGTGATGCAGCTAAACCCTGCACTAATTTTATAGACCAGAACATTTGTCATACATGGAGGTGAGTCAGTCTYCTCCAAGCTCCCCTACTCTGCTCTCCCAGCCAGGACGCTTGGCTGAGTTCTGAGGCAAGGCAGGTGCTCAAGGCTGTCTGCAGGACATGTGTCAGGGGAACCCAGATTTCCAGTGCTCGGAAATGAAGTCACACAARCAGTGGCTCTCACAGCCTGGACATGGAGAACACAGTTACTGCTGAATGAAAAACCCCTCTGGACCTAACTCTTGTGACACTAACTGGGACAGAACCTTCCAAGACATCTGCTATGTGCCAAAAGAACCAGGAAGTGGATCATTTACATGCCATATAGATTTGCTATTACACAAGTACTTCAAAGGAGGAACAGATCTGCATTTCAGACCCCAAGCAATAAAAGAAAGGAAGAAGTAAAACGTCCCAGTATTGTGCTAGAAACATACACAGCTGGTGACTGGTACTTCCTTTTCATGCAGCTAAAGTCCAGCAGTAATTCCACTGACACACCGTTTTTGTTTTTGGTTTCTTTTTTTTAAATGAAAGCTAAGTATCTCCTATGATTTAATGATTCATCAAGTTGAAGGTTTAAGGAAAAAAATGTTATGTAGGCCATCATCTCCACCCTCCACTAATATTCCAGCCTTGGTGCAGCCTCTGCATTATTGATTCCCCATTTTCACCACCTTTGTAGCTGATCTCTCYTCACTTTAGATTTGTGTTTCTGATTTTGTGTTGTCACCAGATTTTTCTTCAGACCATCTACTGTTTTACAGCAGCCAGAAAGTAACTGCCTGTGGGTACTTTCAAGGTACTAAAATTTGTTTTGTTTGTTTTTTAAGTAGTGCAAACACCTTTCTGATCTGTTTGTCACACTGCCAAGACCATGTTGCATTAAATAAATGGGATTTTCTGCACACTATGCAGAAGTAAGAGACCAAAGTATCTGCGCTCTTCCTGAACCAAAGCAGAGGTTTCATCTCAGTAAGGGAGAGCAGAGTGTGCTTTGAGTTTCATACCTTCAGTGAAAGAGAACACACAACTCYTCCTTTCTGGAAATTAATACAACTTCTAGAAATGTCAAAATGTTGTTCTGATCAGGTAAGGATTTAAATCAAAGAGAGGGGGCCTACTGACATATTCAAAACTATCACTCAGTTACTTCCTCGGAGGGCTGGGCCTGTGTTTTTAAGCGAGTTGTCAAAATCCTCTTTATTACTGAACTTCTTTACCCGGAAGACATGCCAGCCTCTCACAAGAAWAGGCCATTTAGTGCCAAGCCTAAGGTGAAACGTGCGGTGGAACACAGTAAGGGAGCAGTGGCGTGGTTCCTGGAGATTCCTGACAGGAGAGCAGCCAACCCTGCAGCCACTACACACTCACAAGTGYGGCTCACTGTGCACTGCTGACACACTTATTTGCCAGCTATGCCCAGGAGCTGACCTCTGTGTTCTCCAGGATGCCAAAATAGAGATTAGCAGTGTTAATCCCAGAGTAACAAGAGGGCTCATTCTGTCCAGCCTATAAATAACTACAGCGACAATTCAACGTCTTACCGTAAAAAGAATAAGAACAAATGGGTGGGGATGGGGACCCCAAAGGCAAAAAAAAACCTCACCGGGTAACCTAAATACCAGTTCTGCTCACAAAGTCGCAGTGGCTTAATACAAGACATTATTTTTACCAAGAACCAGCAAAATCATAGCAGTCAGTAGCACCAAATGTATACACCTTTAATGCACCTATTGCTGCATTTTTTCTCAAAGATACCACTAAATAGCTAAGGAGTATAGGTATATCTCACTGTAGCAGTGCCCTCATTAACACAACACTGCTGTTCATGTCATTCCTTTCACAGAACTCTTTCATCTGCACTGAAAATACCTTTCCCTCCCATGGAAAACTGCAAATTATTTTCTGTATGCTGTTGAAAAAACAGCAGTGACCTCAGAAAGGTGGCTGCTCATGCAAACAGCTTTCCATAGGGGACAGCCTGTCCCATCAATATAGAAATGTAATTTTCTTACCGACTAAGAGTGTGGCAATATGATTAAATTGAAACCACTTTGATTACAAAAACATCATCCCAAAGATTTGCACTTTGGACCTCTCCAAAGTTTTTACTGAACCAATGGCTGTGATTTCCACACAAAAGTTAAGTGTTCGGGGGAAAGGCTGTGTTGTTAAATTACCACYGTCAATGCCATAAATGCAGTTTCCTTGATTGCTATGAGAGACTGACAATGTCCATTACCAATTTTGGTCTTTTTGTATGTTTTCATTTGGTAAGGAGAAAAAACAACACACAAGTGTCACATTTTTATTTGCACAGGGGGACTCCCAGGATGTGAAAGCAGCTTGTGTTGGTCAGTTCTCTGGTCTGTTTTGTCAGTCTRTAAGGAAACTGCACCTGGTCAGTACATTTGTGTACACTTGAAATTTCACTGCTGATGGTTTCCTGTCCAGATCCATCCTTTTACCCCTCCTTTTCAATCAGTTACCTTCAAACCTCATCATAGAGCATATGTGGGGACACACCACAGGAATTCATACTTGTCATCAACACATTTAACACATATTCATACTTGTCATCAACACATTTAACACATATTTCCCAGAAAAGTAGAATTTTTAGTTAGGTTTGGGAAGGACCTATGGAGATCATTCAAGCCAACTCCCCTGCCAAAGCAGCATAACCTCGAGCAGGTGACACAAGAAGCACCCAGGTGAGTCTGGAATATCTCGAGAGAGGGAGACGCCACCACCTCCCTGGGGTCTCCCTTCTGGAAGCACTCCACAAACCCAAGAAATTTCACAACCCTGGGGGCGCAGAGCCATTTAAAAAACCGCAATCCTTACCACACTGTCTCCACACGGCACTGATCCCCGCAAACTCCTTCCCGAGGGCACGTCCCGCTCCGGGCTGGGTCGCTGGAGAACGATCGGCGCCGTGAGGGCGGCGGGGGGCTCAGGCTGAGGGAGGTTCTGCTGGGTCGCTGGAGAACGATCGGCGCCGTGAGGGCTCGGGGGGCTCAGGCTGAGGGAGGTTCTGCTGGGTCGCTGGAGAATGAGCGGCGCCGTGAGGGCTCGGGGGGCTCACGCTGAGGGAGGTTCTGTGACCAGTTTGTCCCGCCTTTTCCCCTCAGGGAGCGCGCGGCACCGCAAGGGCGGGAAAGCCGCGAGGGAGGGGTCTCGCGCCGCGCCTCGCTCCCGCGGCACGTGCAGGGCCGGCCGCATTTCCGGCYGGGCGGGTCCCTCCGTGAGGGGCGGGAGGCGGCGCTGCGCGTGCGCCCTGAGGCCGCGCGCCGGCGGGGCGGCCGCTCCCGGCACAGCGCGCGGCGTCCCCTCAGCCGCCCCGGCCGCCCGGGGCTGCG